CAAATGGCGCGCGCTCCTCCTCTTCCCTCCCCTCATGGACGGCGAGAGCGATCCCGGCAACGCGAGGGGTTTCCCGGAACTGTTTCCAGGGACTGAGCTCGGCGGACCAATCGGAAAGCACTGTTTCAGAAGGACAGACCGGATCTCCTATCCGCGCCGGGAGGCTGGGTCCGACGGTGATTTTTCTAGCCAATCGCACCGAGGGCGCCTTCTGGCCAATCCGCTGAACGGCAAATGGCGCGCCGGTAAGGTCGAAACGGAGAGAAGGAACGAAAAAGCTGGGATCCCTTTTAAAATAGAGGTTTGTTTCCTGTCACTGTCCCGCTCTAAGGATGGCTGAGTCCACACCGCACTGAGGTGCCTGGGTTTTAACCACTTCAGCCTTAACTGGCTACCAAAAACCTCGCATGGAAGAAAGCTAGCATCTCATGGACAAAACTAGACTGGAAGAGTTCGTGACAAGCTAGTCTTCTATTTGCGGAGATGACATAATAAAAACGGGTGACTTCTATTATCGTTTTGTGCAGGTAAGGTAATAGCCTCTCAATAGATGGATTCAGCATTTCTGTTCCAGAAAAACGTTGACATTGAACCTGCAATTCTAAATACATTTACTAGGAAGTAAGCCCCACTGGAAAAGAGAGCCAGTTTGGTGTAGTGGTGAAGCTGCTGGCCTAGAAACCAGGAGATTGTGAGTTCTAGGCCTCCTTTAGGTATGAAAACCGGCTGGGGGACTTTGGTCATTATTTCTCAGCCCAATCCACCTTACAGGGTTATTGTGGGGAAATATGAGGCACAGGTATTAAATATGTTTACTGGTTTGAGTCATATATACTGGATTCTCTCTGTGTGTGTGTGTGTGTGTGTGTGTGTGTGTGTGTGTATAGGGGGGGATAAAAAAAAGTCTAATAATACAATGAGATTTGTGATGCTGTTGCTGTTTTTTCTTAACAATGCTGTGTTCATAGGTTCCTAAGGACAGATTGGATTTATATTTTTATTTATTATATTAAGATATTATAATAGGTAGTGTTTCTGATCAATTTTTGATAGAATCACTGTTTTTTTTAACTTGGTTTTATCTGTAAAATAAACAATAAATCCATCTGTATCCTGCATTATGGATTATTATTTTTATAGATTTTTGGCTTTAAAATATAAGATATTCTTAGAATCACTTTTCCTTTCTTTGGATTCACACTATATGAAGGACAGATCTTTTTCATTTCTTAAACTCTGAGTTGATAAACCAAGTATTACTGCTAGTAGCACTTGAAAGCTATTCTGCCCCAATAAGTGATTGCTATTTCCACCTACATAAGTAAGTTACTGTAATGTGCAAGATCACTTTGCCTCTAGAACTGACACACTGTCCTTGATTGTGAAGAATTCAACACCAATGATAGTTAGACGTGCTCAGAAGTCACTCTTAGAATTCTGATTTGTGAATGTGAGGATACTGCCTCTCTGTAGTTAGCTAGGCATCAGTTGCTCTTAATTGTGCCTCTATTGTTTTGTTTTATTTATCAAATTTGCCACCGCCCATCTCATTAAAAAGCGACTCTGGGCAGTTTACAGAAAGGATAAAATCAATTAAAATACAATATAAAAGAAGTCTTAAATAATAGATTCCAAGAATTGGTGGAATTGGCGTGTAGCTCAGGGAGCATCATCAGGGCATTAGCCGCCCACAGGATCAACCAGAGCTCCCATTGCCCCATGCAAGCTGGCAGAGCCAGGTCTTTAGCCCTTTCCAGAATGTTTAAATATTGTTAAACATTTTTATCAGAACAGAATACAAAACTTTACACATCCAAGAATAAATTGTTCTTTTAAAACTTTACTTTGTACATGAACTAGCCTAGTATTAAAATTCATTATATCAAATTGCTAAACCGTTTGCCATTTCTGTTAGATTACATCATTCCCTAGTCCTCTAGGAAATTCCTACAGAACCAGAAAAAAAGTTTTATTCTTATGCAATCACAATCCCCTCATACCTCTCTGGGTGAATGGAATTTTCCATCCTTGGGGAGAGGACAATGTGCAAGAGTTCAAATTCAAACTATAAGGAAAAATAGTGGCCCTTATCTTTTGAAATGTAGCTGGCAAACTTTTATCATATATTTCCTCCTTCCAAAAATCATGATTCAAGAAATACCTACCCATAATTATTACCACATGATAAGTACTGAATATTTTCTAGAGAAGACACTGACTATGAAGATAGAGTGAATTATTTATTTCACACTATGGTAAGAACAAAATCCTGAGTATTCACAGGCACCATTTTCAAAACAATGCCAGATACCCACCACATCAGTAACAACAGCTACTTAATCATCATCAAGCTTTTTGATCTTGGACTTATGACGTTCAATTTCTTTCTGCAGACGCTCTATTTCTTTCTTATGGTGACTTATTTCCTCTTCATGATATCTTTTCAGATTTGCCAACTGCTCTCTCTCTTTCTCCCTGCAAAAGTATGAGGATAATTAATATATCAGATTATTGTCATTCATTCAAATCTCAGCTAAAGATGTCATGAAAAATAACGGTACAATTCTTCACCTCAGAATGCAATTCTTATGACACCTACTAATGACTATCTAGCTCACAGCTTATCCCATTACTAATCAGCAATTACATTAATATAAAGATAGCCTGGCTCATTTAGAAAGCTAACGATTTGATTTAAATTATTTGTCATTGAATATTACACTTTTCCTCCTACAAACTCAAGACTCATTTCCCCTATTCCTCACAATTTGTTTGTGCAAAACATTTTGATTCAAAAGTTTGGAGTACAAAATTCCATGAAATATTCTGCCTTAAGTATTGAATTGCTTTTTCAGCATATCAAGCATTCAAGGATTTAGCTGGAGGAATATTTGGCCAGATGGGCATGAAACGCAGTAGTAAGAGCACAAGGAGACCTCCAAGTCTATACAAGAACACCATAAATTTGTATGGGGTGCCAGTTATGTTGTCCTCTGAAGGAGCAGGGTAGAAACAAACAGGAAGTGTGGAGAGAAAGTTATCAGTGAATAGCTAATAGTTACTTCTCTTTAGATCTTCCATTAAATAGTCAACTTTTACATAATACTTTCAGGTGTTTAAAGCAGTTCACATGCATTCTCTAGGTTTCATCCTTAAAATAAATCCATATAAATAAGTTGGCATTATCTCCCATATTACAAATAGGTACTTGGAATGAGATGCCTACAACTTTTTAATGAGTTTATAGCAGAAACCAGATTCAGAACAAGTGAAGTCTGTGAGTTTTGGTATTATTTAGTAATTATAGCAATATTCTATTTTTTTCTCCCAAAAGGTGAAGACAGTCTATATATCTCCCCCAATCCCAATTTTATCATAATAACTCTGTGAGATAGGGTTGACTGGAAGATATTGATTGGCTCCGAAATAAAGTATCCCCTTGAGATGAATTATCAGGTGGCTACATGGATGCATCTATATAACTTGACAACAACATGGAAGTAGTTTGCATGCTCTGTCTTTGCTATTACAGCATTAATTCAGCCCACTTGATGGCCAAAAGAACACATCTGCATCTGCATATCACCATTACTGAAGCAAGACCTGACTTGACTTTGGGCCCAGCACCTCTCAACTTGCCTAGTCACCCAAGATATTTATATGAGACTCTCATGCAGCATGAGGGGGAAATGCAGTAATGGAGAAAGGGTTGGACTGGCAACAGGGAGACCCAGCTTCAAGTCTATCAGCCACAGAAGCTCCTTGGTTGAGTTTGGGCCAGTCATTCTCAGCCCAGCCTCCCTCGCGCAATTCTTATCACCAAGAAAAATCAGAAGTGGAAATGCAACACATACCACCTTGAACTTCTGAAGGAAAAGCAGGCCATAAATCTAAAATCTGTCACAAAAATATGGGTAAATCTGCACAATACCATAGGTTAGGATAAAATACTGTAAAATTTAAATACTTTAAATATACTTTAACTGTTCCAAGAATTGGTGGAATTGGCGTGTAGCT